TGGGTCCAGAGTGGTGTGTCCTCTGGGTCCAGAGTGGTGTGTCCTCTGGGTCCAGAGTGGTGTGTCCTCTGGGTCCAGAGTGGTGTGTCCTCTGGGTCCAGAGTGGTGTGTCCTCTGGGTCCAGAGTGGTGTGTCCTCTGGGTCCAGAGTGGTGTGTCCTCTGGGTCCAGAGTGGTGTGTCCTCTGGGTCCAGAGTGGTGTGTCCTCTGGGTCCAGAGTGGTGTGTCCTCTGGGTCCAGAGTGGTGTGTCCTCTGCGTCCAGAGTGGTGTGTCCTCTGCGTCCAGAGTGGTGTGTCCTCTGGGTCCAGAGTGGTGTGTCCTCTGGGTGCAGTGTGGTGTGTCCTCTGGGTGCAGAGTGGTGTGTCCTCTGGGTGCAGAGTGGTGTGTACTCTGGGTGCAGAGTGGTGTGTCCTCTGGGTGCAGAGTGGTGTGTCCTCTGGGTCTAGAGTGGTGTGTCCTCTGGGTCCAGAGTGGTGTGTCCTCTGGGTCCAGAGTGGTGTGTCCTCTGGGTCCAGAGTGGTGTGTCCTCTGGGTCCAGAGTGGTGTGCGATGCAACTAATTATGCTAATTTCCATGATGCAACAGGTGATCTTACTAAAGGTTTTGAAAATGAAATTTGACAAGACATGAAATGTCACAGTCCCCATTATTTGATTATAAAGTAGTACAAGGAACATCTGCAAACAGGTGAATGAATATGTACTCTATGTGGGTACAACTCATCATAAAGTGATTTCCCATAATCTAGTTTTGTAGTGACAACTAAAAACTTCCACTGACCCATGTTCAGAATCTCAGAGTACACAAGTGCAACAAAACTATTTGTCATACATGTATACTTGCTCAAGAAACTGCATTCATAAATCTGAGTGAATCTTGATGTACATGACTTCTTTGTTAATCAGGTCTTAGTATATTACCAGGACCTGGGTTTGTTTCAACATCACCACTGGGCATCAGAATCATTCTCATGTTGTCAAATACAATTTTTTATTAATACAGTAAGGTTTATCATTTAAAATGTATTCATTGTACATAGAACAACATCTGTTAATTTAAACAATTGTAAAAGCTATGTTTTCAGAGCAAGTACATGTAATAATTAAGGAAGCCAGTAAAGGT